TCCCTGCGAATTTGTCACAGTCTTCCTCATGGTCGGAAAGAAGATCGACAAACCACCTCATGTCAGCCCACTTAGAGTCAAAAAAGAGGAAGCAATCAGCGGTCAAAGCAATGTCGACCTAAAGTTGTTTCGTTAGCGCCGTTTTAAGCTCAACATATTCTTCTTCCAGGGCCGCGACAATTTCCTCATGCTCTCTAGTTTCTCTCCTCTGGCTCTCGGTGGGAACTTTAATGTTTTCTCAGTCCGACAGCCCTTTGCTCTGCTTCCTTCTTTTGGGTGATCGCCTCAATCATGCTTCGCTTAGCAGCCGCCTTCTTGTCCTCCATCTGGCGAAAGGACTTTGCCTGATAATGGGCAACCAACCATGCCATCAGATGGAACTAGTCATAATGTTGATCGAAATTCATGTCACTCGTACTCGTCAGCATCTGCTTGAAGAAAGCAGAATGGATCACCTTCGCCGGGCGACATAGATTGTTCTCTGCAGTAGGAGTCTCCATTTACAAATCCATCTCGGAAGAAGAGGTGGGGAGAGATCCTCAGCAGGAGCCTTTCCCTCTTAGTGGGGAGTACCTTCTTCCTGGCGTTCAAACTCTGCCTCATCATTGGCTTCAGTTTCAGAATCTAACAGAGATATAGGAGATGCTCGGCTCGTCTCGCCCCTTGATCTGGCGTCGATGAAGGAAACGTTGAGCAACTTAGCCACCTTCGCTCTGGTCGGAGACACCTCATTTACTTCCTCTCCGCTCATCCAGACAAAAGTCGATGTCTTCAGGAGAGTTCTTACTGCAAACTCCAGAAGTTCCAGTACTTGACAAGAAATCCTTTCAACCAGTAGCATGAACTCCAAAAGATGCATAAATTATTAAGTAATTTTTGAAGTAAAAAAGAACCAAACCTTTGTTGACCCTCATGAAAACCGACGATTTTTGTGGTCGAGGAGTTGCAGTCGCCTCCGGGCAGATGGGTAAACCCTCGATTTCTTTTTAGCCACTTTCGCCATAGCCTTTTTCCGCTTCACCTCCTGGACAACATAAGCCTCCCATAGCTCATCGGTCATAATCCTGAATTCTTCTGACATAACTCTGTTCAAGATGTCGGAGTCTAGATCTGATGCACCGGCTCTCGTCCCTCGATCATACTTCCATACTCTCTCAGGGGTCCAGAAGGGTCTTGAAAGTACGAGACTTCAACGCCCAAATGTCTCAGTAGGAACCGACCTGAAACTTCAACTTCTATTATTTAATTTTATTCTCGAGTCCCAAAAGTCGGAGCCTGAGGCCCATTGAAAACACCGCATAACTATCCCATCCTACTTTGAAGTTGAAGAGATAAGAATAAGAAAAGAGTTTGATCGACTGCGGGATAGCCAACCACCAAATAAAGACAACGATTGTAATGATGACAACAATTGAGTTCAACATCACTTGTGAGGGAATGATACTGTAGCAGGTGAAGATCGCCTGCAACTCTCGGTAGAAATGCGGCCTCAATCTACACTCAAATTGGTCCCGGTAGAAGACCAAGTCTTTGCCATAAACATTGATTGCTCATTCACTATTTTTTATCACCCTCAAAACTATCAATTGCCCATAAACACGGGACTCAAAGGTATTTCACTCAGCGCTCCATCAAAATTGAAACTTTCCCAGACGGATTGGAGCCGAAGAACTTTTGCGAATATTTTTGTTTTTCGAAGGTTTCTTGCTAATATTTGGGAGCCATGAAAATGAGACGAAGAAAGAAACAACCGAAAGAAGAAATCGATAGAATATACTCCAGAAAATGGAAAAATTACTCGAGGTTTTCCTGAACTCTTCACCATATTTATAGAAGACCAGAGGAAGTTGATTTGTCACAAGGACGACGTCATTTACTACTTGAAACTGCTAAAAGGGAGTCAAATCGAACACTCAAATCGAGATAGAAAACTATCAATTTTTACTTCATAAATAAAAATATTTTAGTTTACATTCGCCCGATAGCTATTCCTGAAAATATTTTATAAAGACTTTGGCAGTCGCTTCAACCGAGACAAAACCTTGCTAAAATAACCACTCGTACAAAAGTTCACCCCTAATTTAAATCTATCTACTCTATTTATTTCAGCTTTTGTCTAGCTAGTTGAAGATTCCTCCCGGACGGCCAGCAGTTTTTCTCGGAGAGCTGCAAATTCTTCACAACGCGTGGCCTTCTGAGCACGGATGGCGGCCATGTCTTCCTTCACCTTTTCCAGTTGGTTTGCCCGGTGCGTCTACCCGGCTTGAGGAAATTCGGACGTCCGGTTGAACAAATCTTCTGTCTCACACAGCCGGTGCTCTTTTGAGCTAGAAGATTCTAGCCTTCCAGCCACCTCTACTTGGGCCTCCCTCAAGAGACTTGGACGACTACTCTCAGCCTTGGTTTAGCGCGGAGCACCCTTGGTAAACCCTCGGCCCGCCATGGCTACCAGACTAGGACCTTCGAGGAATCAATGGTCACTACTCCGGTGATAATGGTAGGACCTCCTCGACCTTCGAGGAATCAATGGTCACTACTCCGGTGATTAGGTCATCTACATTAAAAAATAATACGAAGCAAGATTCAGAAAAATAAATTCACTAAGCAAACACCCTCAATACCCATGATTCGATCCCACTCCAAAGTGGTGAAAGAACCCTTCCTTACCATTCTTCTATCTTGCAGCTGGAGAAGGAAGGCTAGTGACACCTTGTGCACTCGACGACATCGAGGCATTAGCGACCTCTCACACAATTCCCTCAGTAGCTGCTTTCGGTGCCCTGGTGGTGTTAAAGCACCAACAACTTCTTGCTCTACTACCCCAAACGGTAACGCAAGAGTCTGAGCAGTATTCGACGGACCAACCGGTCGTTCCTTCGAACGGCCACTCACCTCCATCTGAGACGTTTCTAACAGACGACCTTTCTCCTCATAGACCCCCTCTCTCGAACAATTTTCCTTAACCCACTCCTCACTAGGGCGAGCAAGAAGCGAGTCTGACAACCTCACCAAATCCTCAGGATTTTGTCTCTTTCGCTTCTTTCCCGATGCTTTATGCTTTTGCTCCCCTTCCTAGCGGGGTTCACTCTCCTACCTCATATCCTCGAAAACCCTTCGGTAGATTGTTTTATTGTACTTTCAGCCTTGGACGGGGACTCATTAGCCATGCTGATGATTGGAGTGCAGATGAACTGAGCGAAGAAAATCATTATAAGATAGAAACATGTGCCCCTTACTCCATATTATTAGAAATCGTGGACACGAAATTCAAGAGTTTAATTATTGCGTTATTAAGTAGTAAAAAATATTGTTCGCTTTTTGCATTATTTTTTTTTTCTTATCGCAATTGTTGCTTTCAAGAAGCAAGAGAATTAGATAAATAAACATGTAATAAATAAATGTGTCAGCAAAAACCTTGAGTCAATCTGACAGCCTGAGAAAAGAATGAAATGATAAAGCTGGACTCACTGGTAAGTAACCTGGAAACCTAGGAAAATTGATCGGCTCACGCTAGCTAGAGTTCATCCGAAAAGACCCAACGATATGTGCCCAAATGACATCCTCTGCTCGGGGGTACATGTCCACTCAACCGGCAAGAATCCTTCGAACAAGAATTGAAGACTGGCCACCTGCTCAACTCATTTACCCGACTAATATCAGTCGGACAGATCGACCCTCAATGACCATCTTCAAAAATCTAATTGGCCGCCAAGGTCTAAAGGACCGACCGACCGATGGTCCTTATTCAGAAGGTCAACTGGCAACACTAATTAACTCACCTCTTCAGCCAAAGAACTGCAGGACCCTGGGCCCACAGTAGCTTATTTACTAAAATAATATGTACAATCCTCTTTAAACGGGGCTATAAATGTAATTTTCTTTCATTGCTCACTCTCTCCTATAAAGAGAGCGATCTTTTCATGTAATAAGGCTTTTTGACTTTTCCCTTCTCTCATGTATCTTCTTGCAAGAAGGGGCTTTAGGCTCTCTACATGTTTCAAAAAAATCTAATTACATAACAATGGTCACTATCATAACCTTAATTGGAAGTTTTCTTAAGCAGCTTCAGATTGCTTAAGATGTAATTAACTATAGGGGTTTGTCCTTATAGGAAGAAGTGAATCCTAGAACAGGTATAACAATCTGAATCTCTGGTTGTGGGGATTTTATTCATGAGGTTTTTTTCGTAGGTGTGCTTTCAGAGTGTTCCGAACCGACTCTACCTCGGTCAAGCACTTTGGACCTCTCCATGCGAAGTTTACCTCATGAAATTTTTTTTCCCCACTTTCTCTTTTTGTTTTGTTCCCATCGTTGTTTGCTCTCCTTTCTCCTCCAGTGTTCATTTCTCAGGGCCACCATATAATTGAGATAGAGAGGGCAAGTCACTGTGCATTCTTCTTCTCTTTTTTCTCTCTCCCTCTCTCCCTCTCTCCCTCTCTCCCTCTCTCCCTCCTTTTCTTTTGGTTCAAACGCTTAATTCCTATGGGTGTGCCTCTGGATTCAATAGATAAGAAAGATTTGGCTGGTATAAATGGAAAAGGTAAAGTTTAGGTCTTAGATATGTAAATACATAGGAATTGGATGTAAATACATAGGAATTGCGTGGTATGTATGTAAATTCCCCAAAATTTAGGAATTGGGTGGTATGTATGTAAATTCCCCAAAAATAAAAGAAACCCTTTGGCACACATATCAGAGTGCATATTCTCCAATATCACCTTGAAGTGGAATGTAGGTGAGCCAACACACGCGTTCGAGCATATCCTCTTTCATCAGCGGGGACATCTTTGAACAAAGACTTATATATAAAACAGTTTCATCAATTTATTCTTATTGCCGTCATAGAAAGTAACTTTTTTGTAGTATTTACAGTGTGCTATTCTTTGTTATCTTTGAATAATTGGAAAAGCGAAAACTGAGTGCTTTGAAAATAAAATAAAATAAATAAATAATAAAAAAACTGAGTGCTGTGATGTTTATGCCTTTGATGCTTTCTACAGGTCCATCATGGTGGTGCGGGAACAACAGCTGCTGGCCTAAGAGCTGCGGTTCGTTTCATTTTCACTAATTTATCATTTAGTTGTTAGGCCTCACCAAAGTCTTATAAATAAATTGCTACTGGCTATTGCATGATTTTTAGTGCCCAACTACAGTTGTACCTTTCTTTGGGGATCAGCCTTTTTGGGGCCAGCAAGTGCATGCAAGAGGAGTAGGTCCTGACCCCATACCAGTTGATCAATTCACGCTGCCAAAGCTTGTCAACGCCATAAAGTTCATGCTCAACCCACAGGTGTTTCTTTAAATTCTTCACTTATTTTTATGTATCTACATATTCACACCTAAACTTAGGTGCTTCAAACTATGCTTGAAAAATGTGTATTTCAATTTTAAAATGATTTGACTGCTATATGTATGAAGTTGTATCCTCTATATGTTGGAAAGAAGGTGAATTCAACTCAAAACATAAAGATAAACAATATAAAATAGATGTGATCATTGAAAAGAAATATCCAACATCTCTTGCAGATTCAACTCAATTGAGGGCTACATCTTGAAGCCACCGTTTCAGATTTCATTATTATTTATTTGTGGAAGATTATACTTTTAATTCATTTGATACGCACTTAAGATTAAATCTGCATACCACTTGATTCTTATATATTTACATATCTAACTCCTATATTTAAATGTTTACATACATGGCAAGAGTTAAAATGGTGTTCTTTTCATCTGCTATGAAAGATTTGGGTGGTATAAGTGTAAAAGATAAAGTTTAGATGTTAGATATGTACATACATAGAAATTGAATGGTATGTATGTAAATGCCTTTATGAAATAAAAATTTAGCTCAACAACTGAACATTCTATTTTCTAATAAATTCACAGGTGAAAGAGCGGGCCGTTGATCTAGCTAATGCGATGCAATCAGAGGATGGGGTTGCTGGAGCTGTCAACGCCTTTCTAAGGCATCTGCCACCTCGGCTGAAGCAAGCTGAAACTTCGCCGGCCGAACGGCGGCTCTTCGACTCCTACTTCGGCATTTTTGGGCGGTGCCTTGGCTGTTCCTGATCAGTATGCGTGCATATATATATATTTATTCATTCATGCTCTCTCTCTCTCACGCAGTGGCTTCATTACACATTCGACAAGTTATGGTTTGGCTTGTCTTTGAATATTGAGAGTTTGAATGAAAGGGAAGTTGTTGAAAATGTCAATTTATTGAATGTAAATTTGTAATAAACCAAAACATTAGTGTGATACATATGTATATATGTTTTTCATTTTTTGTCGCTTTTTCAACTCTTTTCTGGCATTTACCAACAAATCGTGCAAATCTTATGTTTTACATGTTTAACCTCTAAACTTTTACATTTACATGCATAACAGCATAACATTCGGATCTTTAATAGGACATCAAAATTGTCATTATTAGTGATGTTTTTAAAAGTGAAGTAGGCTTGTTCATGCACCGGCTTGTGACACCAGAGTTATAAATGTAAATATAAAAAATTGTGCTGTTTGATATGTAAATACATAAGAATTGTGGTATGAATGTAAATTTTTACTATTTATTATTATATTTTTATTTTAATTATTCTGTTTACTCCTTTAGGGAGATTGTGAAAGCAAAATTAAGCAATATTTTTGGTTCATATATGTTCCTGATTTTCTTTGCTATCAAGTATATACAATACTGCAAAATTTTATTAGATATTTGAGAACTATTGGCCTTTCTTACCTGCAGATTTTAGATATCCTGTTCTCAAAGCCCTAGTCGCATGGCCTTGCAATCATAATTTTCTTGTGTTGGTGATTTCGGCAAAGTTTTGTTGATTTTGTGATAAATTTTAAAATTTTGGTAAATTTACGTGCATATCACACAACTCTTGTGCATTAGCATATCTAACATTTAAAGTTTCAAGACTTCAGTGTTATAAATCTGTTTGAAAATGTGTTTTTCACTTTTGAGAATTGGGTGGTATTCTTAATGTAATGGTAATGATTTGAATGCTATGTATGTAAATATAAAAATTTAGATGTTGGATATGTAAATGTGTAAGCTATGTTGTATGCATGTAAATGAGTAACTTGCTAGGTTTGAATGCAATTTTTTATTTTATTTTATTATTATTATTATTTTGAAATAATTGATGTGGTTTGAATGACATTATGCTTTATCATTTGATGTAATCAATCTCAAACATTACTCACCTTATTTGGAGTTACATGTAGGCGTTACAGAATACTTTAAGTATTTAACATGAATAGGTCTTCGACTTAGCTATCCTATGACTCGGTCGGCAGAAATCAATTGAGCATGACTCGGTAAGACCAGATTGTCCGGCTATGTTGAATTGGGGTTGTCGATCAACCTTTTGGTAGCTCGGGGGTCTGTCAGACTAGACTCAATCTTCTTGGTTTTGTTAGTCATCTAGTTAATTAATTGTTGGTAACTATTGATCCTTAAATTAGGAGCTTATGTCGGCAAAGTGAGGTTAGGTTATCGGACAGTGGGTGAATCACTATAATCCGATAGACTTTTCACTCCTTGATGAGGAGATCCTTTTGGATATTCCTTGCAATTATATTATGATCAATTCCTAACCTTTGATGAGGAATATTAATGGCACAAATGAGATGGTTGGTGATGCTGAGTTTTTTCTTTAAGTCAGGTTGTGGCGGGAGGTAGGTTGCCTCTGCTTAGCTCGATTGGCCTTGATCCTTGGCTTGGACGACTTACATTCAGTCACTCTTGCCCTAGTTTAGGGGAGTTGAAATGTATCAGTATGTCCTTTGGTATTTAGCTAGTGAGACTTTCTAAGTCATACTTTTTATTCTTGTCCGTTAAATCTTCTCAAAATACATGCAAACACGTTTCTGATGTACATGTTTAATTTTTCTAATTTTCCTACTTGAAAACGATAGAAGTGATAAGAATAAGAAAATTAAATGCAAAAGTATATTCATTTATTTTGAAATCAAAGTGTTCAATAATTGTACTCCTTGGATTTACATGCCTATGATTCTCATAAATCGGGGGGTGATAAACATCCTTGTTATCCACATTGATTTTACGTCAGTGTTTGAGTTAGTCGGTTTTCAAAACATCTCCATGGAGTGTGCTCAAAAACCTTTGGATGATGTCCCTAGTGTGGGAATGTTAAGTGCTTTTGACTTTCTATGTCGTAACCTCGCCCCAAGGCGAAAAAGAAGTCGGATGGAAAGAATTGGTCTGAGGGAAAGAAGGGGCAAGAAGAGGCCAGAAGATGAAATGCAGAAGAAGTTGATTTCCAAAGAACGGAAGGCAATTGAACCGACAGATGAAGTACAAATGAAGTGGCGACGTGAACCACTTCAAGTCCTTCGACGGGAGAAAGATAAGGTGTTAGTAGGAAAAGTTTCCTTGCGTCTGAAACGGGGGACACCACTGATCTAAGAGAGGAACTTTTATTTGAACAACCAACCACGACATTCAAATCTTAAAATGCTAGCTTGAGAGATCATATAAAGGAAAGTTTCCTTGACTTGTAGGCCTACATAACCAAAGGTTTTTCTCCTATCTTACAGGAAGTAAGATAGGATTCAGTTTAATTAAAGGGTTTGAATTTCTTTATTAGGGCAATCCCTCATAGTTAATTACATTTTAGGAGTTGAGACTCCTGAGAAAACTCGCGATTCTGGATTCGACTTATATTTTATTAAATCATCAGTGAAGGTCTATATGAAGATAGGTGGCCAGATTCAAAAGAGGGAGGATGGAATTAAGAAACAATTGAGTTGGAATTTGGACCGATTTGATTATATACATATGCATAGTAGGGTTTGGGCTCGATAGTTTGGACTTGGAAATAGGAACTTGAAATTATGTTTGCGGCTAGAGTTTGAAATTGGGATTTCAAAATCAAGGTGAAATTGGACATGGGTTTACAGAAAAGTGAGTTGAATTAAAAAAAAATGACCTTAGGCTAAAAGGTAGATAGGTTTTAGGGATTTCTAGATGAAAATGAAGCCTTAATCCTGACTATTAAAGAAGCTAATAGGTAGACGAACATAATTTTAGGAATAATGTACCCGATCAAGATGTCCATATCTTTCCATCGTTCTGGATACTAGCATCCTCACATTATTAACCAGTTGTGTAATGACAGCGACATTATATATGCTTAAAATTACAAGAATTTGATACTGCTGCTAGAAGATTTAATTCCCCGACAATGACGCCAAAAACTTGACAGCGGTTATAGATTCGATAAAGAGGTGTATAAAATATTCAATAATTGTAAAGTCACACTTATCAACGTAAGTATACGTATCGCTCAAGTAATACAGGGCTCTAATGGAGTTCTAGATATCGATCCCATAGGGAGTAATATTTGAGGCTACAAACTAAGATTTTAGAAAATCAATACTTAATCACAACAATATAGTTCAAATTGCTTATCTGTCACTAATAGGAAATTAAAATAAATATGTAATTTTAAATACGCTTAAATAATTAATTCTACTAATAACGTTTCTAATGTGAAGTTCAATATATAAGAAAATATCATTCTCCTTGTCAAGAAATTAAAGTGATTGGATAAAATGAATTAGTTCAAATTGGATTGTGCCAAATAAGAGCATACCTATTCTTTACCCTTTGGTCCAGGCGTAAAGAACATTGACTTATTTATTTTCTTGGTTCTATTGTAATTCTATGCTTGGTTGCTGAATCTGCGGCTAGGCTGAGAGGATACCGGCTCTCACTTCGGAGCTCCCACGTTCCCCTCGCCTGAGGGCTAACATCTACACCGCAGCACCCAAATGATAAGACCGAATTGAGGATTTGAGTCTGTCACTTTAAAATCTCCAATTCTACGCCCAATATTTTTATTTCTCTATTTATTTGCACCCAACTTTCAAGAACTTTGACCTCCCTGAATCTTGGATGTAATCTTCACTTTAGTTGTAAAACTTAACATATTTTAACAAATTAATTGGCCATATTGAAAGTAAATTAAGATCGAAGTGAAAA